CCTTTCAGGACACCCAAGGACACTTAGAGCAGTAGACATATCATAGTAAAATGTGTGAAAATACAGTTAGAGACAAGCAGGCATGAGTTAGAGAATTGTTTGCAAATGAAGTTAAGATGGATATGCTAATCTAAACAGATGTGTTTTCAAAGCAGACTTGAACACAGGAAGAGAGGTGGTGTTTCCTAGGATTTCCTAATTTCCTAGGAGGCTAGGCATGCTTAGGTTTTGTCTTCTTTTGTATCATTTCTTGTTTGTTTCCTAATAATGATAATAATAAAACTAACTCTATAAACAAGTAGTTGGATGAACTAAACAATATAACTCCCCTAAAATTACATTTAAATTCCAGGCATAAGGTAACGAAACAGATAATATGTTTCAAGATTCAAGTAGTTTAATTGTCAATGCTTCATATGTGCAAAACATACAGAGAATTGAAATTGTGTGGCTCTCCTTCCCAGTTACATCAATAAACAAGTAATCAGCTGAAAACAATGTAAATAAACAAAAAAGTGACAGTAAATGTGTAATGCAACATGGACACGGATACGGATGAATGTGTGACATCCACACAAAAATAACAGGAAATGGACGGGTACTCAGTAGTGTAAAATAGAGATCTTTACAAGAAAAGGTTGAATATTGCAACTATAKTAGAATAGAAGCTTAATGCTGATAAAAGTAAAGTGAAGAATGCATATGGGTGTAAAAGTGATGTGTGCATACAATTCTCACAGTTGAGGGAGGGTGGTGGTGGTGGGGGAGGGTATGGCGGTAGGACGTTATGTGCAAAMGTCACGCACTTGCAAAATGTACTGTATCAAACGGAGGAGGGTTAGTGTGCTCGAGTACAGTGAACTGCGGGCAGGATGGGGAGGTGGGGGAGCAGGGAGTGAGTTGAGCATTCTTATAGCCTCATGGATGGAGCTGTCCCTCAGTCTACTGGTCCTGGTCTGGAGACTCTGCAGTCTCCTCCCTGATGGCAGCAGAWTGAAGAAGCTGTACAGTGGGTGGGTAGCATCTCTCGCCAGGCGGAGGGCTTTCTGTGTGAGGCGGGTGCTGTACAAGTCTTAAAGGGAGGGGAAAGGGGGWGCCAACAATCTTCTCAGCTGCTMTTACAATGCGCTGRAGGGTCCTGYGGCAGGCTACTGTGCAGGCCCCATACCACACGGTGGAACAACTGGTCAGGATGCTCTCGATGGCCCCTCTGTAAAAGGTGGTTAAGATTGGGGTGGGGGCACCAGCTCTTCTTAGTTTGTGGAGAAAACAGAGTCGCTGATTTGCCTTCCTGGCCAGTGCTGCAGAGTTGGTGGACCAGGAGAGACCCAGGAACTTCGTACTGCTCACCCGCTCCACAGCAGTGCCGTTGATGGACAGAGGACTGTGCTGCCCGCAGGTTCTCCTGTAGTCCACCACAATCTCTTTGGTCTTCTCAGCATTCAGAGAGAGGTTGTTTTGTTTGCAACATGAGGCCAGACAACTAACTTCGCTCCTGTAGTGTGACTCRTCGTTGTTGCTGATGAGACCCACCACCGTTGTGTCATCCGCAAACTTGATGAAGAGGTTGGAGGAGTGTGCTGGTGCGCAGTCATGGGTTGGCAAAGTGAACAGGARGGGACTCAGCACACATCCTTGGGGTGCCCCTGTGTTCAGTGTGGTGGTGCTGGATGTGTCGTTGCCAACCCGCACTGCCTGTGGTCTTCCAGTCAGAAAGTCTAGTAGCCAGTTGCACAATGATGTGCTCAGCCCCAGACTATCCAGCTTGTGAATGAGTTGTTGAGGAATGATTGTGTTGAATGCTGAGCTGGTCAATGAACAGCATTCTGACGTAAGTGTTGTTCTTGTCCAGATGTGTAAGGGCAGAGTGGAGAGCAGTGGAGATGACATCCTCAGTCGAGCGATTTGATCGATATGCAAACTGGTAGGGGTCCAGGGAAGGGGGGAGGGATGACCTGATGTGWTGCCAGCCGTTCAAAGCACTTCATGAGGATGGAGGTGAGTGCGACCAGGCGGTAGTSGTTAAAACACGATGGTGAAGCCTTCTTTGGGACTGSGATTATGTTGGTGGTTTTGAAGCATGTGGGAACCACAGCCTGGCTCAGAGAGATGTTAAAAATGTCTGTATAAACCTCTGCGAGTTCCCAGGCACAGTCCCTAAGCACACGACCAGGAATGTTACCAGGACCYGGAGCTTTCTGAGCATTGAGCTGGCTGAATATTCTCCTCACACTGGCCGGGGACAGCGTCAGCACCTGGTCACCAGGAGGAGGGATGGATTTCTGGGGGGACGTGTTGTTGAGTGGCTCGAACCTAGCGAAGAATCCGTTCAGGTCGTTCAGCAGAGAGATGGAGCTGTCACAGATCTGCCTGGGAGGTTTGTAGCCTGTTATGGACTGAATTCCCTGCCACAGGTTCCYAGWGTCTCTGCTGTCACTGAAGTGCTGGGATATCTTCTTAGARTATTGCCTCTTAGCTTTTTAGCTTAGCTTTTTTTTCTGTGTTAATGTAAACTACTGAAAATGTTTTGAGTATTCAATTTACCTCAAAAACACAATGCTGTTATAACATATTATATTGAATATATTAAACTATTTATATTAACTTACACTGTAAGCTGTGAGGCAAGGCATTAACTAAATAAAACCAGAGAACAGAGCAAAAGCGTCATTTTGTGAGCAAATGTGCTTTTTTTATTGCAATAATACATCTGCACATTGACATTTATTYACACACACACACTCACACACACTTTGTCAATGGTCAGAATAAAACAAGAATTTGAGCACTGAACACATAGAATAAGAGGAGAAAGAAACACAAATAAACCACTAGTTGTTTTAAACATATTTAGTCTCCACACACACACAAATGCTCCCATTTAAACATATATGACACCACCCATTACACACACACAAACACACGCCCACACACACACACACACACACACTCACACGCACCGAACACATGCACTGAGCTCCTCTAAGTGCCAACAAAGAACTACATAACTGTACTTGTGTGTAACAGACTGGCCAACGATCCAATATTTACTTTCACTACAACATTATCAGGTAAAGTCAACACCTGCAGAGGAAGATCATACTGATAAACTATGAAATATTTCTCTTTTTTAACGATATACTGTAATTTATCTATATATTTATATATATTTACAGAACATTTCCATACTGTTTGTTTAAAGGGATTACATTTACATGTAAAGCAGCTTCTTTTTACAGCCACAACATGTTCACTATAAGCTTCTTATCGGGTCACATCTCAGTACCTCGCTGGATTTTGTCACTTTTTCTGTGTGTTCTGTTTATTCTGCTTGACAAGATGCACAATGTAATCTACCATCAGCAGGACAAGAGATATGCAACAAATAGAACGCACAGTGTAGCTAAAAACATACATTGCTTTGATTTTTCTTTTATTGCACAATGCACAAAACAACACCTTTTTTCTTTTTTTTATACAATCGTCTATTGCAATTTCTTTACAGATAACAGATTTTAACAGTACAACTTCCAATAATTTGCTGTGATATGTTGATAAGTGCAGTAAATGATGCTGACGGGCAGAGGAAGGGGGTGATACARTAACATTTTGTCCGTGGAAACATGCAGAGACACGGAGGACTTTCAGTTCTTCTCTTGAACCGGGGTTGTGTTTAAATACACTGATCTGTGGTGGAACAGATGATGGGGATTTCTCTTTTCTTTTTTTTAATTTGATTTGATTTTTTGTTGCCTGCAGGTAAACTTGTCGATGGTGAGATGTTTTCTTGGTTCTGCCAGCTGCATCTAGTCGTAGAAACTGCGATCACTGGATAAAGAATGAATTGGAAAGCAGAAGATAATTTAGTTTTTGTACAGATTGCATCACCACTCCAACACACACTTTTTAAAAGCCAGGACCCCGCTGGACTGTAACTGTTGGAGACTGGCTGGCAACTCAAAGTTTTCAGCTGCAGTCTCACTAAATTGAGTATTTGCCACCAAACAATCAGTGAGCTTTGCCGCCCATCTGACTCAAGCCGGGCTTGTACCCGCAGCCGCAGTAAGAGGCTACAGCACTGACCACCAGGCTACTGTGGCCCCACAAACACATCACTAAAATCCTCTTTTTATGCCTGTTCTAATAATGCTCAGTTTGAACTTTAGTAAATCATCTTCATGATCTCCGTGGCTAGATACCTAATTGCATTGAGCCGTTGCCATGTGATTATTAGATTAGCCATTTGGGGTAAGAAATAATTACACAAGTGTACTTAATAAAATGGCTAGTAGAATGTCTAAAATAGAACATTATGAATTTACAAACTTGTTCWACCAGCTCTTGGCACTTAAAAATGTAGAACTGTTTCAAGAATGACACCAAGAGTGATATTTGGAATATTGTAAATACAACATACAATATACAAACAGTATATAAATTACTTGGAAAGAAATACGCATTCAAATCTTAACAACAACAAAAGGTAAGAAGTAAAATAAATCTAGTGACAAGCAAAATGCAACATTGTCATGCAGTTTTAGAGTGACAAAGAGTGTAATAATTGTTTGGAGTAAAAAAAAAAATTGAATGGTGATGGTTTCTGCAATGTTAACATGCTTGCATGGTTACCTTACAGTTATCTCATGCTAACCAGGCTGATAGTGAATTTTCAGCATTCGCAAAATTTTTTACCTGTTTTATCCTTTGTTTTCCGTACATTTTCCCCAACCTAACTATTTCTGTAGACGTTGAAGTACAGTAGTTTAGCCCCTCAAATATCAAATGTCCAAGTTATTCAAGGGATGGGTGCTATGATTTTTTTTAACCTTATTTTGAAATATTTAATTTTTTAATGATTTTTCCATGAAAATACATTGAGATGCTTACAAGTACTTCARAAACATTATTTTAAAAACACCTCAAGCCTAAGTGATATCATTTTTAGCCTTTTGCTACATTAAGAATTTAGCTAGTATTTTGWAACTTTTTGGGTTTTGCCACCTTTAGATTTTAGCTACTGTGTTGATATTTTGGCTTTTAGCTAGCATTTTGCTTCTTTCAACTTTCAGTCAATGTTTTGCACCTTTTACTAGGGGTGCAACAATACATGTACCCATATCAAACCCTTCAATACAGTACTTTAGGTTCAATACACACTTGTATCGAACAACACAGATTCTGAAATTTATTTTATCAACTTGTCTTCTGAAGATGCTCTGTGTTGAAGGATCATTGGATCTGTGTTCAACTACTCCACCTAGGCTGCATTGTCAAGCGCAGATCCACTGAGAAACTTGCTGTTTCAGCAACATTTAATAAAAAAACTGTACTTGACATAAAACAAATGTTCAAAATTAAGTTCAATAAATTACAAGTCAAAAAGGGAGTGGAAATTTCATGGAATCGTGAATTTTCTGTATTGTTGCACCCCTACCTTTTGCATATTTCTTCTGTTTTTAGCTTTAACAACTCCAGTTTTAGCTTCTCCAACAAATTTCATCAAAGTCACTGGCTGTGTCCAAAGAGATTGCGCCTTCGAAAGCCAACTTTGGCGGCCATATACTGTAAGTCACTGCGCCMTGCCAAAGGCTGTCCAAATTCAAAGAATCCTCCGATGTGGCCCACAAATGTGTCCTCCTTTTTCCCCCGATTTGAGGGACAGGTCCTGTGGATCCTTCTCAGCCTAATCTATCCCATGATGAATGGCGGGCCGACCAGAGATTTTTTTTTCCTTGTAATGACGGATGAAGTGTGAGAAAGGAGTACAATTTTAAATAAAATTCCTGCAGTATAAAAATTGAAAGTTTAAAGCGGTTGGGTAGCTAATGCTTTTGTCATTTGCATAGCCATGTTCTTTTCATATTATTCTTGTCAGAAATGAAGCGAGTTGGTATGTGAAATAAACATGCTCATATGGTGGGTTTGTTAGTTCTTCAAATATTGCCTTTAGGCTAATTTTGTTATTTTATAATATTAATAATACAAATATTCAGCTAATTTTGACCAAATTTTGCTTCTGTTTAGCATTGTTACTAGACAACAGGAAATACGCTGGTCTAAGGGCGGAAATATAAAGCTGAAGGCTAGACCATTCAAACTGACAGCCACTTTTTTCTGGTTGACCAAGGACCCAGCCCACCAAGACCAGGTAGGCTGAGCCCCTGAATTTGGACACAGCTACTCAGTGCTCAATATTCACATGAAAATACAATTGATTAGTTTTATCTTGTTATCTTGAGAGAACATGTTTTGTTTTATCACTATTCTGAAGTGACTGAAAAAAGTGGTTTCGCACTGGAGCCTTAAAACAGGTAAAACTGGTGTTGTGGGTACTTCAGTCCTACATCATTGGAAACACATACTGTATRAATCCTATTCTAAAAGGAAAACTACAGAATCTTCTAGTTCTAGTTTCATCATTTGGTTGATAACCTTACCAKTAAACAGCATGAGTGATTAACACCTTTAAATTCGGATTTGATCACCTTCATTCAACCTGGTGATTGGAAAACAAAGCCATTGTGGTTAGTATTCATTAGCCTTATTCTGCACTATTAAGGCAATAAATTGTAATAACGGTCTTTGGCAGGTGTTTGATGATACTGAAAGAAAGAAGGGAGGCTAAGAAGGATGAGTGTTAAACTGCTGGATGTTGGCAGGTAATGAAAAGTAAGGAGCTCAGGGTAAAGTGGATGTACTCACGCTCCTTCTTCTCTGAGCAGAGTCAGAAACTTGGTCACTCTGTAATCTGGATCCATCTGTRGACAGGAAAATAAAGCACATAATTTAGGAGTGGCAACCACAATCTAAATTTTATTTTGAGCCATGTTGATTACATCAGAGACAATTACTGAAACATCTTGGTGGATTTTTAGGACTCTCAGCAGAAGAACCCCATTCTTGCAGTTCAAGCTAAGCTGCTATGTAAGACATGCTAAAATCTGTATTTTAGAAAATATGTTTGTTTGCACTTAAGCTGAAATTTCAGTATAATGCAAACTGTTTTCACATGTATCCAATATGAAGTAGCAGCTTAGGTTTGAATCATGGTAARAAACAATCAGGCTAAACTAAAACTGACTTTGTCCAGAGACAAAACAGCCTATCAAAAATATAGTTATTGTGCAATAATTACTGTAAATATTAACATTTTTCTTAGACAAACTGAGCTGATTTATTTATTTATTTTTTATTTTTGGGTGGATCTATGTTGACTGACGATATGGAGCTTCATACCTGCAGGGACATCTCAATGAGCACCAGGAGTTTCTTGATGCCAATCCAGACGCGTTTCCCTTTGAGCTGATGGGCGATGCTGGCTCGCTCTTTATCTGTGAAGCTTCCCAGCAGCTGCAAAGACAGCAGAGCGGTAGAGATGTGAATAAAACATGTTAGTGTATCCCATAAACAGATCGTGTTGAATATACTGAACCTCTAAGGCGTCAACCAGCTGCTCCCCAGTAGAGATATTGGGGATGTGAATGGTGGTACTGAAGGCATCCAACATCTCCATCTCCTGCAGGACATCCTTCCTGCTGGTGGTGCCGATGATCAGCAGCTTCCGGCCCTGCAAGGCAAAATGCAGAACTTGGTGGGAGCTGTGATCACCAGCATGTAGTACAGTCAAGTCATAAGTTTAAAATGGCAGCTACATGGCAGCACTTGTCAACGTTGCTTGAGCAACCTTTTTAGTTGCTCCATGTCAATGTCACCTTACAGACCGGCCACTAGATGTCAACAAACGTTCAGTAACTGGTCCTGAAACTGTTACAGTTGTTTTACACTGATAGGTTTCCTACAATACATCTGCTTGACACAAATTTACTTATTTTTTGCTTTAACTGCCCATCTTTAAAACGCCAAATGCAATTCCCATCCACTCGTCAGTCATTTGGGGGTGACACCTGGGATGGCCAATCAGGTGCCAGGGGTGGCACTTGCCRCCATGGCCACCTCTCTGGCTCCGCCCCTACTTTCTCTAACCACTGGAGAGTTACTGCAGCAGTGTGTTTAGGATTCTTGTCCTGCTGGAAACAGAACYTCAGTCCCAGTCTCTGACATCACATAAAGAGGTGCACATTTTTAATAATATTATCCCTGCCACATTAATGTGGCACAACCAGGGCTCAGGTAGACTAAGTTCAGGCTGACTGTGGTCAGGCTGGACCAGGCCTTTCAATGCAAAAAATGCCATAAGTTGATTCGCTGAACAATGCTGTGAGTTTAGTGGATGAACCTTTCTTGGCAGGGTTATATAATCTTTACATATCCCRGTAATGGATTAAATACATATCTGTGGGATGTTCAGGGTTTGGGAAACCTATAACCCAACCTTGATCAGTTCTTTTCCTCAGCTTTGTCTCTGATGTGTGTGGAGAGTTCTTGGGCTTCATGCTGTCCCTTGATTGAGGTGTTGAACTGAGATTATTTAGAACATAGATGGATTTTATATATATTTATATGTATATGTGTGTGTGTGTGTGTGTGTGTGTGTGTGTGGAAGGCAAGAAACAGAAAGATTACGAAGGGTAGGGAGTGGTTTTGCAGCACATAGTGGTATAAAGAGTAGAGATGTCTACAGGTTGCAGGAGAGCTCTGACCTTGGGTGGAGGTTTCTTCAGCAGTACCAGCAGAGCCTGGAGGACCAAGTTGGAGAAACGAGGGCCGATGGGGACGTAGTCCAGCAGGCGCTCAATGTCATCCACCACCACACAGCTGAGCTGGGACTTATAGGCATCATCAAAGATCTGGAACATAAATTGAGTATTATTGAACAATGGGCCTCATGCAAGAACCGTTCGTACGCACAGATTTGTTCTTAAGTTGTGTGTATGAGTGATTTAGGAGAATTTGTGG